TACCAATCCAGCCCAAGATGGCAGCTTTGGGGTTAGGAAGCGACGGTGACGCACTGTCACTATTCAGACCCTCCTGGTCAGCATGATTGAAATGCGGTTTTTATCAGATCTATTTTCATGGAAGTTTTGTCTAACAATAAAATTGTGGTTGCTCTTCTCTCCTTTAATTCACAGAGAAGTACAGCAGTTCCATCCTGCTGTGAGAAACTCCTCAGAGGTGAAATTTGCTGTCCAGGCGTTTGCTGCATTGAACAGTAATAATTTTGTGAGGTTTTTCAAGCTGGTCCAGTCGGCTTCTTACCTGAACGCTTGTGTGTTACACGGCTACTTTAACCAGGTGAGTAGTCTGCCGTGCTCGCAGAGTGGGAAGGAAGCAGGTGGTTATGCGTGCTGGGTAAGTGCCGTTCTGTTCCCAGGATAGTTCAAGCCGCTCCCGGCTCGCAGCCCTCATGGCAGCCTCCTGGGTCACTGGTGTCGCTTCGTTTCCTAGGGCCTGGCACCACTGATCACTGAAGGCAGTGGAAACTACTGTTCCTATGGTTCAGACAAGAAGAATCTCTTAGGAACCATGTAACTCAAGTTTAGTTCTGTATAATCCTGGGGACAGAGAAGTAAAACGCAAGGACTACACGCACACAGTCCCTGACTTAGAAATTCCTGGTGTTATTAATCTGAGTTTTTAGAGTGAGCCTGACGATGCTAAATTCATTTCAGTAAATGTCGTCAGTGCATGCCCTTTGCTGTGTGCTATGCCTTGGGTACAACAGCAGGCGGACATGGGGGGCTTTGCACAGTGAACCCCACTCTCTGAATCTGCGGGTCGGGTTTCCAGCTGCAGCCCACCACTCAGGGCACACTGCTGCATCCCCAACTGCAGGGATCGCGGTTCCACCTGCCTGGGGGTCCCCTGGGAGAGGAGGCTGCCCAGGAGATCTCAGGGACTTGGTCTGTGACTCCAGGTCATTTGTTTTCTTTGGTCACACACCAAATCCTCCTGTAAACAGTGACAAAAGCCAGTCACATCTCGGGCAAAGAATCTTCTGCAAGTGTGCTCATTGTCAGATCTGACAGTTGCCAGCAGAACTGGCGTTCTGGAACAAATGAAAAGATTTTTAATAGTGTGCCCCTTGGGAAACTGTGCAGTTGATAAATAAGACTGACAGTTCATACATTTAAAATGATTAATGTTACTAGAATGTTGACCTTTTGTCCCAGAGATCTCCTCCCATGCTCCCTCCTTGCCCTGCTCCAGCTGCCTGGTGCCCCGCCTCAGGGCCTCTGCACTTGCC